TGTCAGCATAATTCATCATATCAACACCAAAACTAACAGAAACCACATGATCATCTCCATAGATGCAGAAAAAGCTTTGACAAAATACAACACCCATTCCTATTAAAAACACTAGAGAGCATAGGTATGAATAGAGTGTTCCTTAAAATAATAAATAGCATCTATCTAAAACCTTCAGCAAGCATAATATGTAATGGGGACAAGCTAGAAGCATCTCCAATAAGATCGAGGGTGAAACAAGGATGTCCATTATCACCACTGTTATTCAACATCATACTGGAAACGTTAACTTTAGCAATAAGAGAAGAAAAAAACATTGAAGGTATTAGAATAGACAAAGAAGAAACAAAGCTATCATTCTTTGCAGATGACATGATGTTATACTTAGTGAATCCCAGAGAATCAAGTAAAAAAGTACTTGAAATAATAAACAACTTTAGCAAAGTTGCAGGCTAGAAAATAAACCCACATAAATCATCAGCATTTCTATATATTACCAACAAAGCCCAACAGCAAGAGATAGAAAGGGAAATTTCATTTAAACTTACTGTAGACGTTATAAAATATGTAGGAATCTACCTCCCAAAACAAACCCAGGAACTCTATGAACACAATTACAGAACACTTTTCATGCAAATAAAGTCAGATCTAAATAATTGGAAAAACATCAGTTGCTCATGGGTAGGCCAAGCTAATATAGTAAAAATGACAATTCTACCTTACTTATTCAGTGCCATACCAATCAAACTACCAAAAATTATTTTATAGAGTTAGGAAAAATAATAAGAAGATTCATTTGGAAGAACAAAAGGTCCAGAATATCAAGGGAACTAATGAAAAGAAATGCAGGGGAGGGTGACCTAGCCATTCCAGATCTTAAATCGTATTATAAAGCAGCAATCATCAAAACTTCTTGGTACTGGCTAAGAAATAGAGTGGTGGATCAGTGGAATAGGCTAAATATGCAAGACACAGTAGTCAATGACTATGGTAATCTATTATTTGATAAACCCAAAGACCCCAGCTTCTGGAATAAGAACCCACTCTGAAAAAAAAACTGCTGGGAAAACTGGAAAAGAGTATGGCAGAAACTAGGCATAGACCAAAATTTCATACCATATACCAAAATAAAGCCTAAATGGGTTCATGATTTAGATATAAAGGCTGATACTATAAGCAAACTGGGAAAGCAAGGAATAGTTTACCTGTCAGATCTATGGAGAGCAGAAGAATTCATGACCAAACAGGAGATAGAGAACATTACAAAAAGCAAAATAGATCACTTTGATTACATTAAATTGAAAAGTTTTTGCACAAACAAAGCCAATGCAACTAAGATTAGAAGGAAGGTAGAAAATTGGGAAAGAATTTTTACAACCAGTCTCGCTGATAAGGGCCTCATTTCTAAAATATATAGAGAATTAAGTCAAATTTATAAGAATACAAGCCATTCCCCAATTGATAAATGGTCAAAGGATATGAACAGACAGTTCTCAGATGAAGAAATTAAAGCCATCTATAGTTATATGAAAAAATGCTCTAAATCACTGTTGATGAGAGAAATGCAAATCAATACAACTCTGAGGTACCACATCACACCTATCAGAATGGCCAACATGACAAAACAGGAAAATGATAAATGTTGGAGAAGATGTGGGAAAATTGGAACACTAATGCATTGTTGGTGGAGTTGTGAAATGATCCAGCCATTTTGGAGAGCAATTTGGAACTATGCCCAAAGGGCTATAAAAATGTGCATACCCTTTGACCCAGCAATAGCACTTCTAGGGCTGTATCCCAAAGAGATCACACAAATGGGAAAAGGACCTACATGTACAAAAATATTCTTAGCAGCTCTTTTTGTGGTGACAAAGAATTGGAAATTGAGAGGATGCCCATCAATTGGGGAATGGCTGAGCAAGTTGTGGTATATGAATGTGATGGAATACTATTGTGCTATAAGAAATGATGAACAGGCTGACTTCAGAAAATCCTGGAAAGACTTGCACGGTCTGATGTTGAGTGAAGTGAGCAGAACCAAGAGAACGCTGTACACAATAACTGTCACATTGTGTGATGACTAATATTGATAAACTTAACCTTTCCTGGCAATACAAGGATATAAGACATCTCCAGAGGCCTTGTGACGGAAAATTCTATGCACAGCCAAAGAAAGAACTATGGAAGTCGAATTACTATATTTTTTCTCTTCTGTTGAGTTTTGTTTCCTTTTTCTGATGGTTCCTCCTATTGGTTTTAATTTTTACTTACAACATCACTAATGTGAAAATATGTCTAATAGGAATGTAAATGTATGGCCTATATCAGATTGTGCGCCATCTTGGGGAGGGTGGTGGGGAGGAAGGGGGAGAAAAATTTTAAACTCAAAAGCGTATGGAAGTGATTATTGATAAATCAAAATAAATTAATAAAAAAAATCCAAAAAAAAAAAAAAGAATTGGCCAGTTCAGTACCACATATACTTTAAGGCTGCCATTAGAATATTGATGTAAGAGACATAATTTTTAGATGACCAATCATTTTCTTAATCATGCTAGCAATAATTAATAAAAGGGTCAGTGACACTCTCACATGCCAAAGACCTTTCCTGGAACCCACTCAACACTTAATATGCCCTCGGAAAAGTGGGTGTTCCCGAGGGTGGCAATCAACTCTGATTGGCTAGCAAGTAATTAGAGAGAATTAATATTATAATGAGGGGTGGGGCTATTCTAATGAGGGACTCTGGGGAAAGTGACTTTGATTATATCATTTACTTCCAAATCTCTGGGCCTTGGGCAATCTAATCAAAGAATTTATCCCCACCCAAATCTAAGTAGAACACAGGGCTTCCCCAGCTGAGTGGGGTCTGAACAAGATTGAGAAGAAAGTTAATCCAATCTCATTATCAGCAATGTCTTTCATCCTTTGTCTCTCCAATATTAACAATTAGTTATTTAATAAGCATTTCTCTCAGTAGGAAGAACTTGTGATTTTTTAATATTATCTTTAGAGAATCCATAGATGGATTTGATATCACTAAATGGTCCATAAAATGGTGTCTTTTGATTGTATAAAATAATATATGCTTGAAGATAATAACTGAGATAAAGCATATGCCTTTGGGTTAGACAAAACTAGAATCTTCTCTATTTTCTTCCAAGTTATTTGCTGTCATTGGTATTTTCATGACATAAGAAAAAGTGATAGCTTTTCACATGGGTTTTGATTTTACTGAATTTTTTCCTTTTCCTTCTTTTTTGGAAAAAAATTATTATAAGGGATGGCTCTCTGGGAAGGAAAATGGGAAGAAGTATGGGGGAAATCAAACAAAAATGTTTTTTAAAAACTATTTAAAAATAAGAGCATTATATAATGAACTGTGGAAAAAAATACAGCATTACATCCCAGGTTTATTTACTATAACCAACCTCATAAACTGACAATGCTGTATTTATAAAAACATTTAATTTTTTTTTCTTTTCAGCAAGCAATATAATGAGTGGCTTTCATTATATCACATCTAACTTCCAGTAGGATGAATAATCCCTTGGAGAAATGTGTGGAATTATGGTGATTTGCTAGTTTAAGTGGTGGTCACAATTTCTTCTCATTTTCAACCTGCTTCATCCTTCAAAAAAAAAATCTCTACAGAAAAGTAACACTTACATTTTGTGAGGTATAGTGAAATATTTTTCTTATAGTAAAATTTGTTCATAGAGGCAGTATAGTACAAAAGAATAAGCACTGGTTCTGGAACCAATAGACCTGAATTCAAATCTTTCCTCAGTGGGCAAGTCACAGCCTCCCTAGGCCTCAGTTTCCTCATCTGTAAAATGAGTGCAGGAGGGAGGTAAACTACATAGTCTCTGAGGTTACTTATATCTCTAGACTTCTGATTCTAAAATCGTCATAACTTGGCAAAGTAACTATTTTCAGATACTATCAGTCTGTAGTAGTTGTTTTAAGGAAAAGATAGAGTAAAAGGGGCTGATTTGATGAAAACTTGGGAGATCTGAATCCTAACCAAAATAGAATAGGAATAATTATTCTGGGAATTGTGCAACATTCTGGTGTAATCTGATAGCTAGAAACATTTGGCTATACTCTTATTCTTTGAAAAATGGAAGAAATTAAGAGGGCACTGCTGATTCTATTATTTTAATGCTAAATACGTTCAAATTAAGTTGTGGCAGCATATGAAATTGTAACAATTGGCTTTCCAGTCTGAGTCAGACCATAGGGTTATTATCAAAGATGTGTTCATTTCAGCGTGGCTTAAAAACAAAATAAAAACTATTCTAACTGACCTTGCACATCATATGACAGTAGATTAAGGAGTCTTGGAGAGAGAAGATGTATCAATGTCAAAAAACTTTTTAAAATGGTGAGCATGAACTTTGCAACTGTGCTTAAAGAATAGCAGTGCACTAAAGATAATTTCTAAATGTTTTATATTGTCCACCTTGGAGCTTTCCTCTCCTCTCTTGTTCTTAAAAAAAAAAAAAAAAAGAGTTTACTAGAGCAAAGCCTATCATCAGTTTTTTCCAAATTTGGTCCCAAGACTTTGGGATAAAACATTGTGTCAAGTGTTCCCCCGAAATCCATTAATGTTTAATAGATTCAAAGAACCTAATTAAGTTTTAAACCCAGTAATTAACATTTTTTTTTCTGGAAAAGAAAGGGCCAGGAGACTCCTCACTTGTGAATGCTAACCCTATGTTATCATTCTCAACCTTACTATTAAAATCAGTGAGCCATTAATGTAAGGCTGTAAATGTGTGATGAACTGGAACGCAAAAGCACTGCCAACTGGATTGTGACTTCACTAAGCACCTGAAATTTCCTAACAATCAGAGCGGTCCAAAACTTCCTCAGGAGATCAGAGCTTTAAAGTTGAAAGGTGCCGTAGAGCTTATCTGAGGTAAATCCTTTATTTTGCAGCCGAGCAAAGCAAGGTTCTCCTCCTCCCCATCAACTCCCTCCCCCCCCCAAAAAAACCAACCCGGTTAAGTGAAGTGGCTAAGTTTACAAAAGTATATGACAGAGTCCCAATTTAAACACAGGTGCTTTCAAACTCCACTGTGCGTTTCCCGCAATACACCCCCGTAGCCTTCCCGGTGATTTGCAATTCTAGGTCTTCCAAGACTTGATCAGGCATGTTACTGTCATTTTGCTTTGCGTTAGTAATGGCATCGGCTTAGAACAGATGACTTCTGACGTTCCAGCCTCTTTTAATTCTAAAATTGCATCAAACTTCAAGTGAATAGGCACCGGCAAGTAAGATAGTTAGTTATTCGATCTTCAAATCCTTCTCCAGTTCCTAGATTACAAGAATAATGAGCCCCAGGGTGCACTCTTCCCCACTCCACCCCCAACCATTTTTTTTTTTTTGAAACAGTCTTCGCCATCCCCATCCAGAAATGTTAGAAAAATGAGTCCACTCTCCGCCAGGCCTTAAGTGGGTGGGGAAGAATCTCTCTCTCCTACTGGCTGCCTTAAATATCACTTCGTTATTTGCACTTTGGAAATGAGCTAGTGGATAAATGAAGCTTCAGGGAGGCTCGTTCCGTCCGGGACCCGTGATTGGTGGTTCCCAAAGCCAAAGGGCGACCCGCCAGCCACCTGGCTAAACCCGTTTTGGCTCGGCCCCGCCGCCAACCCGAAAGGATCGAGTTGCTTCTTCCTAAGGCCTGGGATAGGAAGGGCTCCGGGAACTCCTCGGGGTCGAAGCAGGGCAGGGCTAGGAGGTCTGACCCAGGGAGGCAGCTGGCTGGACCAAAGGCGCTGCGCTATTGCATCCGCTCGGCTGCCTGGAGAGGAGGGTGTAGCGCGCGCATCGGTCCCCAGGTAAGAGGGCAGGGCGCGCCCCCCAGGCTGGGGGGTCCGCCTCATTCGCCTCTAGGTGAGTTATTCTTGCTTTTGCTCTGCAAATGCACGTGCCTGTTCTCCCGGAGCGCGCGCCATCCCCGGCTTTCCGGCCCACGGCCCGAGGATGTCATGTCCATTGCGGATTCAGGAGGCTGCGGTCTGCTCCCGGGGGTGGGGCCTCTGCGCCGGCTTCCCATTGGTCAGTGGGGCGCGGCCCCAGCCGTCCGCGCTGCGGGCTCCCCTCGGGGGCGGGGCGGGGCGGGGAGGGGCGGGGCCCGGAGGCCGACGCTCCGAATCCAGGGGGCCGGGAGAGCACGGCTCCTGCGCCCGGGGCCGGCGGCGGCTGGAAACGCGCCTCTCGGCTGGGCGGGTGAGATCCGCGCGGGGCGCGGTGGGGAACGGAGGCTGGGGAGGGGGTGAAGATGCTGCCGCCGCCGCCGCCGCCGCCGCCGCCCCCGCCGCGGGAGGCATTCCCCCCCCCGGAAGGGCCGCCGGCGGGGCGGGGAGCGCGGCCCTGGTCCTCAGCTTCTCCCCCTTCGGGCCAGCTCGGCTTTTCGGGGGTCCGGGCCTGCGGGGGAGGCCGCTCGGGGCCTGCGCGGGGGCGGCCGGCCTGCTGTGGACCCCGCCGCCGCTTATTGGGGGACCCTACGCCGCTTATTGGGGAGCCCTCCGTCACTTATGTGGAGCCTTCCGCCACTTACTGGGGGGCCCTCAGCCGCGGGGGGGGGCCATCATCCATTCGATCAGCACTAGAGAGAGAAAAGGGGACCTGTGGGAGAAAACCATCCTTCTTGTTCCCACACACCCTTTTTTTCCCCTAGTTCCTCTTTCCAATCCCCCCCAACAGCCCCCCCCTCCTTGTAGCCAGACTTCAGATGGGCCAAACACGCCCGTCACGAAATCCACGGGTCTAGGGTGCAAAGGGACCCCAGAGACCACCTGGTCCAGGTCATTCTACAGAGGAGAAAACTGAGGCCCGGGGAGACTCAGTACCCCTAAGGCTTGGGCTCTGGAGGTCATCATTGCATGCATCTCAATCTTGACTTTGGGGGGCGGAGGCCAACGTTAAAATTCATGTGGGGATTGTGGCATTCAGCTCATGGCATTCTCCAAATATGTGTCAAAGGACAGCCACTAGAAAGCTAGAATGGCTTCTGTTTACTGAACCGAGACTTCTTGATAAAGGCTAATAAAAAGTCATGTTAAATATAGCACAGTTTAGACAACGAAACCTAAAGTATGAGTTTCCCTTTTCCAGGTAGATAAACTGCCCAGCCTGCAAACTGGCACCTGGTGAAGAAGGCATTTGGCTTTAAGCCTTGGGCAATGTTTCATCTTAAAGTATAAGAGAAATTTTAATGGCTGTTGGAAATTTATTAAGTGATTCACATCCTTGCCTTGGTAATTCTAGACAGTAACTCTCCAATGTGTTTCCATGGTGGTGAAGGTTCTAGATATTACAATAAGTATGTACCCATTTCATTCTTTCAGTGTGGGAGGGATGATCTCAAGGAACGGTAAGAATGCTTTGAACTTAAAACTGCCCAAAAGCTCACAAAGATGCCTTTTTGACTTACCTGAAAAGTTCAGGAGAGTAGTTTGAATTGTTGTTCATCCTTCATTCTAGAAGAGGACCAGCGACCTCAGGATGGTGATGTCTTTTTTTTTTTTTTTTTTTGGTGAGGCAATGGGATTAAGTGACTTGCCTAGGGTCACACAATTAGTGAGTATCATGTGCCTGAGGTCAAATTTGAATTCAGGTCCTCAGTACTCCAAGGCAGGTTCTCTATCCACTGAGCCACCTAGCTGGCCCCAAAATCATGATTTTTTTTTTTTTGGTGAGGCGATCAGGATTAAGTGACTTGCCCAGGGTCACACAGTTAGTGTCAAGTGTCTGAGGCCAGATTTAGGAGGGTGATGTTTTGATTTACAAGTGAATTTTATTTAAGTGAGGCAGGACTCTGTAAAGTTCACCAGCCTCACTCTCTCTTCCCGTCATCAGAGTCCAGTGGCAAGATATAGGGCGGGATTACTGGCAGTCGCTCTGGATGCAGTGAAAGACTTTTTAAGCTAAGATCTTTCCCAGGTCTTATTTTGTCTGAAGCAATGCCCGTTCAGTGATTAAAGGCTAGATAAGGATTGAGGTAAAAGATGGCTTACTTTCAAAATAATCAGCCTGGGAGACGAAGACCCACAGAGATTCTGGCCCGAACCCAAACCGTTGTTTTCTACACTCTGAGCAATCCTGAGAAGAGCGAGAGAGCCTTGGGCTGGGACTATTGGCTAATCAGTGAAAGCCAGAATGATTTGGGTTTAAAGGCATAGTAATGTAGCTCTATTTGACTTAAGTGGAACCTTCTGTGGAAGGCAGTCAATCACTTCCTGCCCTTTCAAAAAAAAAAGGAAGTTGGAGAGTGGTTTAACTGCTGTAGGATCGTAGAGCATGGTTGGGGTAAAAATAAAGTCATAGTGATAGCTTTGATGTATATAGTAATTGTTCAGCAGCGAATGCATTTCAGTAAAGAATGAAGCATTTTCTTCTTGATTTTTCTTTTGTCTAGATGTTTTCATTTGTTGGAAATCTTTTTATGCCATGTCAGTGTTTCATTTTAACTCTTAACTGTCCTTTCAGCCTTGTTTTCACCCAACTCTGTCTTACCTGATATTGCCAGCCTTTTAGGAATGATTAAAGGCACTAATGCTGCTCAGCCCCCACTTTCATTAACACTAGATCAGCAAGTTAAAATAATTTTTGTATGAAATTGCTTTATGTATATCAGATAACAGGAAAAAATATTTTCTAAAAGTTAAATTGAGTGATTAAATTTTAGGACTTGTTTTTAATACCCCCAAAGTAAATATTTTATGTAATCTTCACAAATTTTTATCTCACTTACCTACTGTTTGGCAAATAGTCATTTTCTGTGAACAGGTTCATAGAATCACTAATCCAGAGATATAAATAGCTGTAGACATCATCTAGTTCAAGGCACTAATTCTATAGATTAAAAAGTGAGACCTAGAGGTATTTTGGTGGTATACAGAGTTCCAGGCTGGCCTGGAGTCAGGATGACCTGAGTTCAAATTCAGCCCTAGTCACTTACTAACTGTGTGACTCTGGGCAAGTCAGTTAACCTCGAGCTTCCTCAGTTTCCTCATCTATAAGCTAAGCTGAGAAGTTTCAAGAAAAACAGCTATTTTTAAGTATTCTATTTGGACTGTGATATATATTAGGCGTACATAGAAATGAAATGTATAAATATAGGTAGTTTCAGTATTATAAATATCAGAGAATCTCTTAAAAGGCTTTAATTTACCTAGGGGTCCTGTATGAGGTGAAGTAGCAGACGGCGGTTGAATAGTTTCAGCATCCACTAAATAAATGGTTCATGGGTACCTTGGAACTATGTTGAGAGAGCTTTTCATTCACTCTTGATTCCTGATCCAGTGAGGCCCATTTAAAATTTTTGCTTCTAGGGGTATTTCAACACTTTTGGATATCCAGTTCAATTTTTTTCTTTCGCTATTAGGACGCTGAAAGTAAAAAAGGCAAGTGTCAGTTGTAAAAACTAAATGAAAAGAATATCAGTGTTGTAATATTTTTTTCTTGTAACTTTAAGAGTTGTAGTAATATTAGAGTGCCAGATTGGAAAGCATTGAGTGGTTATATCAGGAATGGTCTGAATTGAGCACAAAGTCTTTCAAAAATCTGGAGAAAGAAGAGGGGTTGTCTAGTGCCTGGTGTACCTTTCAAAAGGGAAAGTGCATTTTGGGGAATGTCATAATCCTGAAAAGTAACAAATTGTAGAGGAAAGGGAACCTGTCTTGGAATCAGATAAGATCTGGGTTCAAATACATCCTTTGATACTTAGTAGCAGTGTGACCTCATGAAAGTCACTTAATTTCTCAAAGTCAACTTTCGTACCCTGCCATAAAATGGGTATAGTAATACTGTTGGATATCCACCATAGTTAGATTGTTCTGAGAATCAAAATAGAGTGTTTGTAAAGAGCTTTGAAAATCTTAACCATGATAATGTCAACTATTTCATGGCATGGTAGCAGGTTGATCAGTGTACAAGATAAAAGAAAAAATACGCTTCCCATAGGCTGTGCTATTTGCTAAAAATTTTTATTAATACCTTTGGCTTTTTGTATTTACTGTCATTTTGCATACCTACCCTACCTTGTAAAAAAAAAAAAGAAAAATAATTGAATGAAATGTAAGCAACATTCAAAACCTGGGTCCCATATCTTTGCCCTAAGGGAGAAAAGTATGTTGCAGCATCTGTTTTCAAGATCAGTTATTGCAATTAATCTCAGTTTAGCTGCCTAGTAATATCATTTTCATTTACATTTTGCTTCTTTCTTTGCTTTGTATCAATTCTTATATTTTTCCCTTTTTGTTGCTTTTTTTTTTTTAAAAAAAAGAAGTTAATGCTTTTTGTTTTGATATCACAGTACCCCCACTTCACACCCAGTGAGCCTTCCCTTGTAACAAATAAAAACAAGCAAAACCAATTGATACAGTTACTGCTGATGATGGTGGCAGGCTGTTAGTTCTCCATGAAAAGGATACAAGCTCATTTCCTTGAGTTTGGGACTGTGACTGTTCAATTATATGGCATTTGGATTTTAGTGTTGTTTTCTGTTACATTATTGTCATTGTGCCTATCATTTTCCTGGTTCTACATATTTCACTCTTTATCTCAGTTCGTGTAAGTTTTTCAATTTTTTTTTTTAATTAAACTTGTGATTTCTTCAGGGTAGTGAGTTCCTGGCGAGGGAACTCCTTTTCCCAATGGAGAGCAGTACCTGCCCTGAAACTGAGTCTTGGAGAATGGCATGGGATAGTGAGGGGTTAAATCACTTACCTAGGGCTATACAGCCCAAGTTTCTCTGAATTCTTCATATTCATCATTTCTTATGTTGCAATTATATTTCATTGTATTAATATGCCATAATTTGTTCAGTCATTCT